CTCAGCTGCACTCGGTGGTAGGAGGCCTCTAGGCTCTGCTTCCCGTGCCCGGCGATTTGCCAGATGAGGGAGTGAAGCTGTTGCTTTGCTCGTGTCCGGCATCCCAGGTGACTGAGAGACCCTCGGGTGCTGGTCCCTAGGTAGCCGTCAGTACTCTTCATCTGGGTGATTAGACACTGCAGTGAACGCTTGTATAGACCAACAGAAAACTGTGTCTCAGCTGGGTAATGTTTCTTACCTCTCCCTCTTTTTCTCTCCACATCCTTTCTCGCTTTAAGTTATCAGTAGGGGTAATCAGTACTTTGAATACTGCACCTTTGCTTTGGAAGATCTCGAGTTGCTTCACAAATTGGGGTAAGTGACACACACCTTACGGATAGGATTTAGCTATGCCATCTTCAATATCAATACCCTTGCAGGTATTAATGACTTCTCTGTTTTTAGTTCTGGGTGCTCAGAGAGCAGAGTCTTCTGATAAAGTCTGTTCTATTGCAGATATGATACCTGTTTAAGTAACAGAGGAAATATTCCTGTATCACCAAAACTTGGCCTTTATCTGGTTTGTTAACAATGGTGAACAGTGACAAACAAGGACAGAAAACATCTTGTTCAAGGCATAAATATTCAGTGTGTGTTACTGGGGAACATAAATTAGTATCAGGAACAGGCGCGACTCCATCCTAGAACTCATGTCTAAGTTATAGGCACCATTTACATCGCCTTCCAGTAACAAACATTTTTACATCTTTAGGACACTTTGTAAGACTAAGCTTATTAGAAATTACTCCTTGTCTAAATGTCTGAATCCTGTTCTTAATTTAGTTTGGGTCTCTGAATATGAGATATTTTGTTCTGTAAATTGTCAGAAAGTTTGCAGTTGACTTGTAGATCAATTTGAGAAATACAAGATTAATAATAGGTATGAGAAATGTATAGAGCACAAGAATCTACACTTCGCGGATGTGGATTTTATTCCTTCCTCTGTAACTGACTTGCTGTGTGACCAGCCTTCTCTTCCCTGCACAACTGTTTTATGATGTCTAAACCAAGGTTAACAATAATTTCAGAAATTACTTCAAGATCCCCAAATGAAAAGGGCTTGATATTATGTATCAAATGTAGCAGATGAAACTTTCCTCCTGATAAAAAAGGAAGTGCTTATAAAACACTAGACAAGTCATAAGAGGTTTTATTAGGCATGTCTTACAAATATAAGCAGCATCTCATTCTATTACGAGATGTTCAGCACCTCTGAAAGGCTTTCCCTTCTGTACTGCATTTGTAAAATGAGACCTTCTGTTAAATTAAATCTTCACTTATACAAGTAGTATGTTTTGAAAAAAAATTAATGTGTATACAAAACTGAGGTGTATACTGGGTTTTGCTGTAAAGAAGTATAATGGACAGTGTTCCCTCAGTGCCTGTATTGCAAGTGGCCTCCCTCTAATTTTTTCAAAGTTGTTCTCGCAAAATCAATCTAGTAAGCTCACAGGCCCCGCCTGCTGGACATTGGCGTATGTACAGCATATTTTTGGCTTTTACTTGAGTTATCAACATTCCTTTAACTCTACTGTTCTCATCTCCCCTACAGCTGCAAAAACTTGGGTTTTTTGTGACTTTGTTTCTTGAAACACAAGTTTTCTTAAATTGTTTTATACTGTAATATTTTAAATTTACTCTCAGTTGTTCATAAGATTAGATAATTTCTCCCATGGAACATCTGAGAATAAAACTGCAAGCTTGAGTTTTCCTTTTGTTGTTTCTTCAGCATGCTGCCTGAACATTAAGCTTCTAAACCTGAAAGCCTGTGCACTTCTGTTAAATGTGTGGTTAGTTTGACTGTGTTTAAAAATAGTAATATTTTCCTTAAAGGTAAGTGTGGGTATGTGAAATTTTTTTGGGGGTGGGATTGAGATTTTTGAATAGCTGTCTCCTAAATAGCATCCAAAACTTAAATCTCTGTCCATCAGCATTTGTGGTAGGAATATCTCCTGGCAATGTTTGCTAACTAACTGCAGTTCACCAAAATTCAGCACAGAAAATTAAAACTCTAATCTTTTTGTAGATTACACAAAGATAATGCCCTATTGTTACCACAGGTCTCTTACAGGTCTTCCTCTTTTTACAAAAAGAAGAGCTATGCTGATGTGGTCCTCTACTCATAGGGTGAATAATCAACTGAAGAGCAGCAATGCACTGCACTCTTTATACCCTTTTCCTATCTTTTAAAAGTTATTTTGTAGTTCATGACACAGCATTTTCAGCCTATTGCCTAAAATGTTGAAAAGTGATGCAGATGAAACACGGACACACTGCTTGGAGTTGGTCCTGCACTGTCAAGGAAGTTATCCCTAATTCATGTAATAACTAGCTTAAAGCTATGCCCTCATGTTTCCTATTTGCGCTGTCATTTATTTCATTAAGTAAAAACAGGGAATGAGGAAAAAGCAGTGAAGGAAAACAAATGTGAAAGTAAGGTACTTGTAGAGGTAAATGGGAGAGGGAAACGAAGCAGGCCAGACTTCAGAGTTTGTCGTTGGAATTATTTTCACATACCTTTCTTTCTTGGAAGAGTTTTTATAAATTATGTGGATGGATTTTTGTGTTTGTTTTAAATCTGATTTCATATTGATGTAAGCATGATTCCATAGGCCTTTATGCCAAGTTCTCACAGTCTGCTCTTTAATATCCTGTTTCTTTTGAACTTCTATCTGTTACTGTCTCCTCACAGTAGAAAACAAAACAAAGCACTTTCTGTATTGCAACAATCTTTTAAAGTGCCTTCAGTATGGGTCAAAAAATGCTAATAAATGACCCAAGATCATAAAAGAATATTCCCCCCGCCCCCCCCCGCCCTGTAATTTGGGTTCCCACTGCTCGTATTTGGTGGTTTAGGGCTTGAGTAAGTCAGGACCGTTGTTGGGATACTAGCAATGTCTTAATATTTGGTGTTTAAGCCGTCTTTTAAAGATTCCTATTTTCGTCTGTTCGGAAATTTCAATGACTATGTCCAGGCTTATGTTTCAAAATACCAGTTCTAGAGGCCAGTAACATACCAAAGTAAAAGGTGCCAATTCAAACTCTGAAAGTCTTACAACATTGATGTGAACTACTATGGTTTCTGTGAGAACAGCCCTCATATGGGCATTATTCATAACATCTTTTATACAATTACCATGTCTTGTGTGTAGAAAGCAGTGACCTGGTTAGGGTGGAGAAACTGCGCTGTATGAATGGCAAAAAAGTAAGTCCGTATTCTTACATCTCTTACTTAAATGTGTGGATCAGCCACTTGTAACTTTTCTAGGAAAATCTATAGTAACTCTTGAAAGCTTTTATACTTACTAAGTTTAAAAGAAACTTTCTTTCTATATACATGGTGAGAGGATGTACAGTCAGTCCATCAGTTTCTTTGAAGTGTAGAGCTTAGGAACACTCAGTTTACCCACAGAGCTGAGCAAAAGTGCAGAGCTTCTTTACAAAATAACATTTACATGTTAAGGCAGATAAGAATGCACTGTTCACTTTGTAACTAGAGGTCAAATGTTATTCCCTCCACGGACTGTAGGGAACTAAATAATAGGGAGACCTGTAGCCTTGTGACTTTATGATTAATCCTCTCATTTTTCTTAAGAAGAAAATGTCTTTTGTCTAAACTCATCTATTACCAGGGCTTCTGCTATTTATTGAGGACTGAACTGTTAATGGTTGGATGAGCCAATAACACAGTGTTAATAAAAATCTTGGTCCTAATGGAACAAGAGGGAGTTTTGTCACTGATTTCAACACAAATGAGACTCTAGTTGCTGTGTTGCTTATTTGTTTTTCCCTGCATGAGGATTGGCAGCTAACTGGATGTATGTTTTAATTTGCCTCACTTATGGTATACTATGCATTTTAATCACCATTCTAACCGTCTACTTGATTGCCATTTATCTTTGTGTTCATGTATAAGCACTGTTTCTACTAAGACTAATGAAAATACTTTGTCACGGCTGCTAGCTTGACAGACTTAGACAAGGCTTTCTCACTAATCTGAGGGTGTTTCGATGACTACTTTTATCGTTTGTTTCAGAACTGGTATCTTCATTTACAAAGTCAAAGTGCCAAGCAGAAGATGTCAGACAGTCGTTCAGTAATGTTCAATATTCTTAAAAGAAATAGATTAACATCTCCCAGCAGCAGTTTTAAACACTCAAATTTTAAAGACGTATGTTGCACTTCAGTATTTCTGGACAGCAGAAGCAATGAGTCAGATCCTGATGTAGAACATAAAGAAGCACTGACTGTAACAAACTCATCATTGCTACAAGAGCATTCTGAGCACATTCATCCAAATGCCCTCTTTCCTGTGTCATCATCTATTGAAAATGAAATTAATTCTATCTCCTTATCAGAAAGAAGAGAAGCAAATAGAAGTGCAGATTTTTTTGAAACTCCTAAAGTGAGTAGAAAAGGCTCCTCGCTACCCAGGAGGCTGCTTTTATCTAAAACTGTTTCAGCTGGCACAACTGTGAAATGCTGTGAAAGACAAGCTAGTTCTTCAGGAAGCAGCAGGAAAAAAATATTCCCTTGTGTTTTGAGCTCCGAAGAAAAGCTTTCACAAACTGCTTCAGATTCTACAAAAGACAAAAGTTACAAACCTCTGACAACTAGCACTTCAAAAACTGAGGACTCTAATCCTGATTGCCCAAAACGGAGACTTTCCTTTTCACAACAAAGGACTTCTACGCTAGATGAGTCCAAATGTAAGGACCCATTATTGCTGGAACCAGAATGCTTGTCTCCAATTCAGTGTAAGGATGTTATTGTTAGTAATGCTAATGAATTCAATGAAAGTGTCCTTATGAGTGTTAGTGATGGGTTGCTTAGGACTCCTACATACAGTGTGTTACCTGAGGCCAATGAGGGTAAGTTCCTGATTTCTGTCAACAGTCTTGTAGAAAACTTTAACTTTGAAATATGTGATATAAACTCTCCCCCTGTTAAGCTGGCAAGTTACCCAGATCTTTCAACACCTGAGGATAGTGGATATAATTCACTTCATTTGGACAAATCAGGAGACTCATTGTCTGATCATGAGGGATCTTTCCAAGAGTTCTTCCAAAAATGTAAAGAAGGTTCCAAAAATCTGGATAGTAGAAGAAAGACAAGAAAACTTGAACGAGTTAGAAGGTTATCTACTCTTCGGGAACAAGGCTCACAGTCGGAGACAGAAGATCATCATGGCAGTCCTTCTGCTTCAGCACACATGTTAACAGAAGAAAGAAACTTTATCAGTGAAGACCAAGCATTAGTTTTAGAAGAACAGCCTAGTGGAGACCTAGTTGTAAGTCACGGAGGTCTCTCAAGAACTCCAGCCCTGAAAATAGTTCATGAAATTTGCTTGCAAAGACAAAGATCGGACCAAAATCAAGTATCAGAGAATATTGATGGAAGAGAAATATTTGCATTAGAACATGTTCTTGCTGGACTTATTGGCAAGAAAATGGGCCTTGAAAAATTAGATATTTTAACAGAATTAAAATACAGAAACTTAAAACATGTTCTTGCTATAGTTTTAGATGCTTTGACAGTGGAAAGTCTATGCAGGTAAGTACTACTGGTCCCGCCCCCCCC